CCATACAAGAAGCCTGGTCAGCTTTGTGTGACCTCTATCTACACCTCTGTAGCTGTTAATTTAATTTGACAGCTGAACTGTTCATTCTTCATTTTCATCTCCCAAGTGTAGTTCAATCCACAATTACAAAATCTGAGTGTTAACATGAAGACAAGCAACACTGTGGCTGAGGTCAGAGGTGGAGAGCAGGATTAAAACTCAGCAACCTATACCTCCATCTGATAAAGGCCACTTCATAATGATGACCCTGCTACTGTTTCTACTAAAGAAAAAAATGGCAGCCATTTCAGGGCACTGCAGTGTCTACAAACACACAAGACTGGAGGTCAGCAGAATCTAGTAAAAGGTAAGCGTATAGAAAACTTTGTTTCATTTGTCTCAGCATTCTCAATTACTTGTTTTCTTCTCACCATAAAGCAAAACTCCCAAGGAGAAGCTACATAAGAAGAGGGACAAAAATAATCTTCCAGACACTTTTAAAATACACTAATTGTTCCACGTAGGCTATGAAGATGATGTGACAACCAAGTAGAGAGAATTTTTTCAGCTAGAATGAGTAATATGATGACAAGCTTGCAGTTTCTCCACCTAAAAACCACAATCACGCAAACAGCATCTTACCACTATGGCACCTATTTATGTAAGCACAGGCTTAATCACTTATATCTAAGGCATTCGAAAGGTATTATTAGGGCACGTTAAAGCTTATTAAGGCATAATACAGCATTCTAAAGACACCACGAACTCCAGCAGCGCAGCAATGGAAAGAAACTGCAGCATCAGTGTCTTCAATTCCAAAATCTAAATACACAGAAGATGGCAGAATTCTGCCTATGCACTAGAAGAAGCCCTATTAGTCAAACCTCTTTTTCTTGCCACACTAAGCTTCCAACAGGGTATTTCTCTCTCATTAAAAACACCACTTTCTCTCTGCCACCTGACAGCATGAACACCAGATACAGTGTACCAAATGCATGACTCCAACTTCAGTCTCACTTTGCATCAGTATACTCAAGTAATGTGACTCTTCCCAAAAAAAGGCTAAGGTCTTATCACTTCACTTCATCAGTGAGCTGCTCAGTTCTCCTTATTTGCATTCTTAGCTTTCAACTGGCCTTCCCTTTAAGCAGTATAGGAGATACAATTCACAAGTGACAAAGCTGAGTCTTTAATAAGCTTGCAAAGCAACAGATCCTGTCCAACAACTCTGAAGCAAAGTGAATTCTGAACTGAATTCAGAACACAAGGCTACCCTCATTGCTAGCAGCAGTCGACAAAGCCACTATTAAATGCTATTTGCATGCCTCTCCTACAGATAGTCATGCCATGCACTCAGCAATAACAGCTCTCCATTCTGCTATCCTGCATGTGAGCAAAATCATCACTCCTGTTCACGGCAGACTGAGGTTCAGTGTTTTAGGAATGTCAGTTTGCCACTGATTTTGAGCAGCAGCCGAGGCACAGGAAATGCCACAGATGCTAGTGTCTTCATAAAATGTGCTTCGATTAGAACTGGAGTTAAATTGTGTGTTATTAATATTTATTTTTCTTGCCTAGCCAATAAGTATTTCTCACTTTCAGGAAAGAGGAAAGAAGCTGAGTGCTACCAAGAACCAAGAAGGTTAATGTCCTTTTTTTCCTCGCAGGTCATATATTCTATGAGGAAATATATAAATACAGCACTGGCACTTACAATTAGAAGTCAGCAGTATCAGCTACAGCCTGCAGCCATAAATTCCAACCATCAGCACTGCTGATCAGTCATTTATTTTGTGGCAATTTAATAATTAAATTATTCCTGTACAACATTTCATCACAGGTGGAATAAGCCTACTTTTCTGGATAGTTTAGTGAAGTCACAAAATTTTATAATTTGTGGCTTCATAACCACATAGCTGTAGTTTCAAAATAGTGTCTTTCAAAAGATAGTGTGTTGAACACTTTGTTGGCATCCCAAACCAGGCAGGGAAGAAGAACTAAAAATGTTACTGACAAAGATGTTCTCTCATCACTCCCACCTCATTGCTTCCATTGAATATTTAGTATTTTCAAGTGCAGAAACTCTAGGTTAGTTTTGTGCACAGACAGAGCTGGGCTTGAAACTAATCAGCAAAAAAATGTAAGCATTAACGTGCCTGCTTCCAAATCTCTGTAAAACCAACTGAAATATCCCATGAAACCGCAGGTGACAGATCCACTTACATTATTTGAAGACTTGGCTTTGTACCTCCCAGTTTCATTCATTCATGTGTATTCTTGAAGTAAAGCTCAATCCAACACTTCAAAATGAGAGCCACAGTTTGACTTAATGAGCAATTATCTCACATTCGTAAAAAGTTCTCTTAGTGTGGTAAGAATAAAGCATATCATCAATCCAATCTCTTGGGGTTTAGCTAGATTCGTAAGAAGATTCTGGACAAGGTTAAAGCACCATAGCATTAAAATGCAGCTTGTATAGAGGACATAAGAATAGACAACTATAGAATTAATATGACTTCAGAGTAATTTTTTTAATCCCAATTAAAAGTGCATCATGAATAGCTTTTCACTAAGCAGATACTCAGAAGTCTTACAACAAAGGTAAGGACTCCAGTACCAAAACTTAGGAAGAAATACTTTATTTTCTTAGCTACTGTTCAGAGAGCCCTGAGGAGACTGCTCCTCAAATCCCTAAGAGATCTGCAACAAACAAGCTGAAAAGCACTCTGTGCAGACAGCTCCTGGTAGTACTTGAAAACGACGCACACCATACCTAGGAGACTTACGCAACTTGTTCAGGTCACGCTTACCTTCTCAACACCACATGAGTTTCATAGAGTCTTCCCTTTTGGCAGTAACTACAGAGAAACACGATTCTCCCTGGCAAGTATCCCACTATTGAACAGATAACAGTTTTTGCTAGGATATAAGGTCAGACACCTGTTGTTCATCAGAAGTCACACGAACACCATTCCACTGCTGAAAAATGGGAACAGAATTACTGGTAAGGCTTCAACCACAGCAGCTATAAGCCCCTCAGTCACTCAGCATACAAAGTTACAAATGACCAAAGCTACTAGCTTTTTTATGAAGACCAAGCTTGACAGTCTTTAATTCAAATACATTTATAATAAGTAAACATTTCAGAATCAAAATTGGAGGGAGTAGACTGAAACACCCACAGACATTCTTGCTTTACTCGCCATCCTCCCAGAGAAGGAGTGGTTATTTCTGATAGTGGTTTGATCAGTACAGAAGACTCCCACAAACTAAAAGCTTTTGTCTTAATTAGATATTAGCTATGTAGTGAAGTACACTCAAGAAGTCCTTGTATCAATTTGGCATTTTTCAAGTACCTGGCAGCTTGTCCTTTTGCAGATAACAAATAGCCCCTTTTTGCCTGCAGAGCGTTACATCAAAATCTATCTCTTCCAGTCCATAAATATACTGAGAATCCTATTTAGCTGAAGTCTACTGGCTGACTCGGGTACTAATGTTAACTTTTCTAAAATGAAAGTATTATGAAACACTTATTTTCTATTTAGCAATACCATACCTCCTTACTGATAGATTTCGGTTGTGCTACTGACGACTTAGACATTATACATGTATGAAATTTTAGAATAATGAAATCCAAATAATTAAAATACACGCTATCTGGAAAAACATCACAGAAGTCTAAGGATAGAAAGCAAAAGTAAAATGCTTTACATACATTTCACTATTTTGTGCAGATAATTATTTAACAGACTACAGCCAACCAATAAAGAAACAAAATACAAACATTTCAGTCTTTCTCTCTCTCTTTTCTCAAGACACTTGACTTGTACTTCGAGCTTAAGTAGTAGTTAAGTAGTTAATCCACTGACACACAACCTAAGCAGAAAATAATTTTTTAGTTGTACCACTAAATTGTTAATATCATTAGTGGTACAACAGCTCAGTGCTGTACCATCAATATTATTTTCTTGGTTACTGTAGAGATAAATTTGTAATCCAGGTAACTGGAATACAACAGTGAAAACTCAAAATATCCCCAAGCTGTGTTCAGGAAATGTTGCACATAGTAGCTTTAGATTAAATTAGAATTTGTTTTCATTGCTAGCATTGCAATGACAGGTGAAATTGTCTCTAAAAGTCAATGTATATTAAAAGGAAGACTGTTACATTTTATGATGACTGAACAAAATAAGTTACAAGTAGGTACCAAGAAGATTCAAAACTCTCTAACCAGAGCTTATTTTCAATAGAAAGGTATGCGTGCAGATTCTTCTGGGTTGGAACAACTTGATTGTTTGCTTGGTATCTCAAGTTATGAACTTTTCTTCCTCATAAAGTGAATAAATCCAAAAAAGTCCTTACTGAACAGCAATAGCTTTATCATTACAACCTACTCAAGAGCAGCAGAATGTCAGTATCTTCAGATGCTTACAGCTGTATTGTAAAAGCTGGTTCAACAAAGGTAGGAAGGTGAAATTTGATTTGATAAAGTCTTATTGTAGCAGGCAAAAATGAAGCTTGCATTTTGTTTGCTGGCAGAAGAATATTCAATTCACAAGAGCGCATATAACAAAACCAAACATGCAATCTATTGCTTTTAAAACTTTTACTGCAACATAACATTGAAGTGAACAGTAATTAGATATCTATTATTTTTCCCAAAAAGAAAAGATGTCGACAGGATAATAATTTTACCTGTATGTATATAGCTTCTCAGATCATTTGAGGGGACAAAGGAGGAGGTGGTGTTTCTCAATGATCAAGACACTTTTAACTGAAATGGTTTTCATTTGGAAAAAAAAAAAAAGCCAACCTCGTTTTAATCCAGCATTAAACAAAATACTGTGCTTCTTGCATTACTTTAACACATCTGAAAAAGCAAAATAACTACCCATATTTTGGCATTCATGTTTACATTTGCTCAGATCTTTTAGATTTCACAAAGCTGCTATCCAGTGTTGCCATGAAATACAGACTGTAGAATCTAGGTAGCACAGGCTACTTCCAATACTGATACTAAGTAGAAAGGAACATGAAGCAGGGCATTACACTACATTTCTGGAACTAGTACAGTAAGAGTGAAAACCTAGAAAAAGTTAATCTACAGTTTATAGAAGGAACTAATTCTCTGCAGAAGCTGATTTTTGGTTGTATATTATTTTACACTGTGTGGTTTTCTGCATCTGCTGATTTAAAGCAGACATACTTGCTGCTGTCTTTGCTTTGTTTCCTGTATTCTCTTCTCCCTCCCTCCCCATATACCATACACCAAGCATTATGAATATAAGCCCAAATATCCCAGACAATCCAGTGAACAAAGTTAGTGTAATGCACTGGTGTGAGGTGTGAAATAAAAAAACGTCTCTCAGTCTTCATCAAAGTTCTGTTGTAGAAGAAAGTTGGCAGCCAAGTTTTCATTCTTCTCACAAGCAAAATATGCCTGTATCACAAGTCCTTCAGGAAATCCTAATGCCTTTAACTGAAGAAAAGAAACACATTTAGAAAGTTCATTTTGTATATAAAGCTTCTTTGTATGTCTAGTATCTTGAGATGCCACTTAAGCAATTACTGCCTTCTTGAAACAAACATTGCTGCCTAGCTCAATACAGCCTTTAGTGAGCGAAGAAGAAGAAGGTGTTGCCTCTGTCTTTAGTAAACAGAATTTTCACTTGAAAAAGTGATTTGAATGAGTCTAATGAAGCAAAATAAAACATGTCACTTTTCTTTTGCTGCCACAGTAAGTCAGTAAACCAGACTTGGGTCACAGCAATGTCTGGAAGTAATGGCACATTGCACTGCTGCAGAAAAAAACTTCAACAGTGCCCATTTTAAACTATTAATTATACAAAGCTCAGGATTTTTAATAAAAGTTGTCCGGAAACAAAGCTCTCCCCAGCCTGTGATCACTAATAACTAGCCCAACACATCACATTAAGCCATACTTTCAATTGTTCCAACTGGACTTTAACTTTTTAAAAAATTGACTACACATTGCAAACATGAGAAGTTGAGAGCAATCTGTCTTCCAGAAGTCAAAGAAATAATTAATGTCTGGGACACAGCGACAACAGGGGATGAGAATACTAGAGAAGAGCTTATTACTGTGCCAAGGGAAATGGGTTTAGGCTGCACTTAAAGGCATTCAGCAAACCAATCTTTGTTTTAGCCAAAGGCAAGTACATACAACCATTTGGAGATTTTCTTAAAATCCTTACAGCACCTGCACGGCATTTTACATACAGGGCAGATCAAATCTCTGTGAGAAACCATGTCCTATTATCCCTTATCAACCATTCTTAGATTTAATTTCATGCTTACAAGCAGCATGAGTGTGTCAGATGTAATACTAAGACACCTGAATTCTGAGGTGTGTCTTTCATGGAAAGGGCAAGAAGCATGCAGGTCTCTGTTGGGTTTTGGAACAGCTTGTAGAGGTAATGCTCTCCTGCATAAAATGGTTTTAAAAGCAAATGCAGCAGACTAGAGAGAATGATCTGTGAAGAAGTACATGGACAAACAGTTTTATTAGACTAATTTTATTAATTGTCAATTTCCTGGAGATCTAGAGAATTGACACCTATATTAAAATTGTTCTTTGCTGATGATTCCTACATAACCTTTTGCTTTGCCAGTTGAAAAACACTGTCTTTGGTATACAAAAACACTACCACAGTATGACATAAGTCTTTGCAATTTGTTCTAAGAAAAATCTCTGAGGCATTGCCATCTATGCAAATCCATATTTAGTCAGTGTTACACACAGTATTTATGAATGCAATATACTGCCCCCAAGTATATTTTTATAGACATGTTAACCTGTATTTTTAGAAAGCTATAATTAACTAATTCTCATGGATAGACAAATAACTGGGTTAAGTAGTGACTTCAACTGATCTACTTAACTATGAGAGCTCTTAGTATCCAAGTACTTTGCAAAGAGTGCTCATGCAGACACACCTTTGTACCTGGAAACCTGTCACAGCATGATCTAGAACTGTACCGTCTGAGGCTTTTGAAAGAGGAATTACCGCCTGAGTTCCCATTCCTGAGGGAAACCTATTCAATCATTAATTATAACAGGCAGCCTCTGATCCCTTAAAAGGGGCTCTGCACCTTCTCAGTAGGACAGATTCAAGACATTTTCGACTCAATTGCTATAAAGCAAGAAGAGATGTGATGTGAAACAAGACTACAACAGCCATGAAATATCAAATATAAAATATCAAAAATGATGCAGAACTACTGAGCAGAAACAAAGTTTAAGTTAATGCGTGTCTTAAGCATGCACCAGAGTCAACACCCTACAACAACAACCAAGCAACATTTCAAAGAAGAAAGGCTCACCCTTTCTATAGCTTCTTTTTCCTGAGGTGTTACTTGAATGTAGTTCATATGACCATTTCCAGCTTCTGCTACTCCTCCAGTGCTGGCACCATCATCACTGCCACTTAAACCTTGGCGGGACTCTAGAACTGGCTCATTCAACATATGAATAAAATGTTCCTGGTGTTGGCTTATTTGCTGTGATGCATGGGAGAATAAAAGAAATATATTGAAATAAAGCGTGTTTAAGCCTGCCAACAGGCAACTAAGAATATTTATCTTCAGTGAATTAAGTAGTCAAAAGAATGTGTAAAAAGTGCATAGAGAAAAATTATTAAAATCTAACCATAAGAAATGCAATTTCATGTTTCAGTTCAATTGCAGTGACCCTGCCCTCTTCCTGATACCCTTTGCACCTCTTATAAAGAGACTCAGACTGATTTCTAACATCATAGAAAATATGTTCTGTACAGCAACAACTGCCGAAAAGCCAACAACAGAATGTTGTAACTACTATTAACACACTATCCCAGTTAACAGCAACATATCCCTTTCTTGTAAAGCTAGATGAAAATTAGCAGCATTATTTTGTTGGTTTAAGATTCACCTGCAGTAGTTGAGGGTTCTCCCGTCCAATCTGCTGCAGCAGTGCCGGTAACAGAGAAGGATTTTGCTGAATAATTTGTCTCATCTGCTGGAACTGAGGCTGATTTCGTAAAAACTCAAGTGGATGTCCTGAAAATCAATAAGTTAACATGTTTTTTAAAAAGTTACCAAGATTCTTAATAAAATACAAACCTACACTATAACTGTAGACAGAAACAGGACATGAAAGTGGACAATGCACCCCTCGTTGAAGAACAGAAGAGCTTGCTTCCTCACACTAACTTACCCTAGCTTTAAGGAAGAATTCTTTATACTAAGGTTAAACAATGCATTTTCTTTTCACCCAGCCTTCTCTCAAGATCCAACAGCCTTCGGTCCTTGATCTCCAGCACTTTTCTCTTTATGTCTCATCTCTCAGTAACATCATTCAGAGACATGTACCCAGCCTACTGTCTTGTCTCTATGCCTACAACAGAGTTCTCTGACTCCTGCAATACCTCAGTTCTGTCCTTCTCAAGCGAGTCTTGCCTTCCCATATATCCTATACTGTTAGGTACCGCCTTGAACGCAGCAGTGTCTGACGCGCTCTGAAATATCCCATTCCCCCCATTCTCTCTTTATGGATGATGTCATGTGTGCCTGTCACTACTGCCTGTAAGTTTAACACTCCGTCCTCTGTCAAGGCTTACATCTTGAACACCATCTCTGCCACAGCCTTAGACAGACCTTTCCTACTCCTTGATTATGCTCCTTTCATTTATTTATTTCCCTTTTAGACAGAGTTCTTTTCAGAAGGCACCAACCTCTCTGTCCATGTGCTGCACTGCTGAGTGAGGAGTCCTAGGTCATTGATAGGTCTCCCAGGTGCTACACCTCACAGCCTTATTGCAGGTTTCTCCCTTGATATTCCAACTTCCAAGCAGTAAATGCATTAGTATAGCCACAGTCAACAGTGCACAGTTAGCCACAGAAGTAGGAAGCCAGCGTTTAAGTGAGAGAAAACACAACCCCCTCCACATTTGTGGCATTACATTTAAATCCAGAATACCAAATCAAAGGAATTGTGCAAGCTCACAGCATTTTTAGAAACGTCATGCTTTATTCCAGATATATCCACATACAACAAGCCATTTGTTCCAAGCAAGTACCACACTTGGAATTTCCATGTTACAGCTCTCATCCAATTCATTTTGATCAGCTCACAAGCACCAGGAACTTGAAATTCACTGAAGCAGAGAATGCTTAAGTGTGTGTGTTTACCACATCCTCTCAAATATAACCTTTCTTACCTCCTAATGAACTAGTAGTCGTAGGTATAGTTGCTACTGCTGCTGCCACTGCTGAAGACTGAGAGGCACCAGTGCTTGCTGCTTGAGGGGGTTCAGCCACAGCCTGATTTTCTCCGGGTATACCCTAAAGCCACAGTTCACATAATTACCTACAGAATGCTAAAAGATACTTGTTTTACTGCATGTATTATTTAGTTTTCAGAACAAAGGAAAAAACACTAATGCTTTCACTGCAAATACAAAGCAAGATGCTCTGATAGGTATGCATTTACAACTGGAAGAGAATACTGTGAAAAGATAATTTTTCTTTTTTACAAGAAAAATATGGGGTTTGTATAGCGAGGTAGTAAAGCATGCACTGCATCAGTTTAAAATATATTTTACTCGATAAACAAATACTTGCTTTGAATCCTATTCTAAGATATTTGATATGAGTGAAAAAGTTAAACTAAATGTACTGTTACAATATGTTGTAGTGTTATGAAAATAAAGTTACATTACAGTAACAGAACTGTAGTACACAGTCCTAACAGTGAGATTATAGATGCCGTACAATCTGGCAAGAAATTAAGAAGAGATATAAGAACATGGCTCCTTGGACCCCTTCCCTCAACGCAACAGTGTGACAACTGTCATTTACTGTATCTTAAGTGTGAAAAGGCCTGTATGTTATCAAATTTTAGCAGTTAAAAAAAACCAGTTAATGTGCATTTTGTTTATTTTCCATGTGCAGGCAACTTTACATAGGAACTAATTGCTCAGGGGGATGGAACTGACAAATCTCAAAAAGAGCAATTATAGTAAATTAAAATGTGGGTTATACAACCGAGACAGACCTTACTCTATTACCTTTCTCCTGCATGGGAATCCTTGAAAATTCCCACCCTAACCATGCTTTCCCCACTGTCACTGAACTCCTGCACCAAATCTGTCCTTTCCATCCTCCTCCCTGAAGCCTAGAAACTTAGGCAGCCTGGCACGGGACAGACACCAAGAAAGACTCCTATATGACTACAAGCCCTGCCAGTGCTGGCAAGGGAACCCAAAAGAGGCAGACTCCACAAAGCAGTAAACCTCCTGATATACACAAGGAAACGGTGGGGGGAGCTATGTTAAACCCAGCCCCAAAGGGGCAAGACTATGCAAGATCCTCTATCTCACAACCCTCATTTTCCAGGGCATCAAAAAATTCCATTCTTCTACAGTCTTCCAGCATATTCAATCCAGATAAGTCTGAGAAGGCAGCAGCACTAGTATAACTGAACCTATTTCACCTGCCTCAAATGAAGAAGGCACCCTTCAGTTTGGGAACCAAAAAACATAAGGAACAGGGTGGGTGGAAATCATCACAGAACTTCAGTGTAACCAGACAATAAAGAGGTTTGGCAAACCTACCATAGAAATCACTGGTAGTAATGTAGATTAAAAGTCCTGCTATAACATGTTCTTCACATGATACGTTTATTACTATAGCTGAACAAAAAGGACAAATACACAGCTAATATAAAGGCCACATCTAGAAAGGGAGAACTGGACAGTGCTCCAGGCAAAAGTTTGCCTTACCTGTGAGATAAGCATATCAAGGTATAAATCACCTAATCATCAAGTCCACGTTTAAGCCACTCAGAGGAATAAATGCGAGTTTTCCCGGTCACGCGCTCCATTACCATTATACGGCTTGTCAAGGAAAATTCCATTCATGACATAATTCTGAGGTAACTCTCTCTTATCAGTGCCTTACAGAGCACTGGTTGGATACCTTTTCCCATCAAATCAGCCATTTCTGGGAATCTAAGTATAATGTAGGAACTTGGGTTGATCTTATGAAATTACTGGTTGATTTCACCTGTTCACAGGCATATGTTGTCACTGAAATCTCTGCCCTGATGAAACAGCATATGCTTGTTTAAACCTTAAGTTTGCTCTTGAATGGAAGCCGTATGGAAACTAGTCCAACCAAGTTTACTTAGAGATGGCTTGTCATCTTGAACATCATTTTAACTCTTAAATACAACCCTGAAATATCAGTCTCCAAATAACCGAGACTGTGTACAACTATAATTAGAAGAGACTAGTGAGGTGTATGCACCTTGTTCACACAGCTATCCAACAGAATAAAGCTTGATACCAATTCACATACCATTAATTTTGAATGTAAACATTGCTTGGACAGCAAAAAGGCCATTTTTGCCTTATGGTGGATTAAACAATTGTTTACTGTTTAACTGAGCACCAGAGCAGTTTTTAGCTGACACTGTTCTCCACAGGGTAACAATCACATCAGGCCCAGCCCAAGGAATGTACACATCTAGAACAGAACAGTTCCAGTTGGAAGGGACCTACAACGATCATATAGTCCAACTGCCTGACCACTCCAGGGCTGACCAGAAGTTAAAAGCATGTTATTAAGGGCGTTGTTCAAATGCCTCAAACACTGACAGTCATAGGGCATCAACCACCTCTTTCGGAAGCCTGTTCAGTGTTTGACTACCCTCGCGGTAAAGAAATGTTTCCTAAAAATTTCCAAACTAAGAGGTGTGGGAATAAATGAGATTGTGTTTTACTTTGACGAGATACAGCTGTGCCCTTGAGGCTTGTTACAGGTTCGCAGGAATGGCGTTTTTCAGCTGTGCCCTTGAGGCTTGTTACAAACAAGTTTGTGAAACTTAGAGGCAGAAAAATAAGGATGAGATTGGATACATCCCTGAAAGAGGAATTCGCGTGCACCAACTTGAAGAACCAATAAGTAACACTGAAGAGACGCGTGGACGTAAGACAGTAACCAATGAAATAAGTTTTGCTTGCTCGTGAACACTAGATCATGTTATAAAAGGGATAGATTGTAAAAACAAAGGGTCTTCGCTTGTCTTCGCCTGAACTCATATGCGGAGTCCATGTCTCATTCCCTTCAAAGAGGCTGCAACCAATGGTCTGGTTGTTGGAGAAAAGACAGAACTCCTTCCTAATTAAGGGTTAGAAATCCTTGGGTCAAAAAGAGATCTGAATCTAAATGCCTCCAAAGATGAGTCTGGGGCATAGAAAAACAAACAGAATCTTTTGGAATTGAGACCTCTGACCATGACCACAGCTCAAGGACCTATAATTACATTTAGATCCTCAGTCATGAAGCCATGAAAACTGAACAGCTTGTCATCTGAACCATGGACAACAAGTGGAATCTTCAGGACTCATTTAAGTAACAGCTATGCTTTAAGCATAGATATTCTCCTGACATTTTCTTTCCAACTCTTTACTTCAGTGTACTGATTCTTTAAACCAGGACAGTGGTACACTCACAGCTCTCAACACCTTAACCCTACCCTGCAGATTATATAAAAGATGACACTGACAATGGTTTGGAGGCAACTAAAGTAGAGGGTCAAAGAACAGTGTCATCAGTGAACGAGTATTAACTAAAGAGAAGCTTTTTTGATGCAGAAGGATGGTAAGGAACATATTTAGACAGCAGCAAACCAAGGACAGTTAGAAAGACCATTTGCAGCAACACAATTCTTCTAGGACAATACAAGTCTGCCAGCTAATATGGTCTCTAAGAGCAAGACTGTTCCTCCCTGCTCCCTTTTCCAGCAGGAAGAAGAACAAAGAAAAGATATTCTCAGTAAAGGATAACATGAAACAGAAAGGGACCAGCTTATATAACAGAAGGACCCATTTCAAACACAGGACCTACTGAAGGAGTAGAAACGAACTGCTCAGACCAGTCAGGTCTATTTGGCAGACATGCCGTGTGTTGAACTCCGTCGTAGGGATGCTCCATTCCTGAACAGAAATAAGCTAGAGCAGGGAAATACCCGACTGAGTACACAAGCACTGCACATTGTACATGTACATTGTACGTGCCACACTGGCACACGCACAGCAAGCCCAACACTTAAAGGAGGCACCGGATTTATGGCATATGTACAGACTAAATGAACAGTAAAATCAACATTTTTAAGGCATGAAAAACAAAACGTTTGAGATTCCAGACTTAGAGCAGACAGATGGGAGCTACCGCATTCGCCCTTAGGGCAAGACAATATTCGTCACTTTTTGTTGGCCTAATAGGAGATGAGAACTGAACTTTTTATATTTCTGTACCCAAAACATTTGTGGTCTATTTAAAAACCGCAGGTTACAAAGTCTTGGGATCATTAATATAAGTAGCAAGCATGGCCATGACTTGTAGTTGTAACTACTGAAGAAAAACTTCATTAACAAAAGGAAAGTTTTGTAACCGGAGGTAAATATGCCAGTTTTCTTATCAATCTATCAGAAATTCAATCTGCATGTATTTTGCAAGGACTGGTTCAAGATACCTGGCTTCAAGATTTTAATAAAGTTCAGATTTGGAACAAGGAAAAACCACATAAGGGAAAAAATGGTATGCTAGAGTGAAAACTAAACACACCAGGAATACTGATTAAGCAACAAGCTCCCAGGCAGATTCTCTGGTGGTTACAATTCAACTGTCAGATTAAGGTATACAATGAGAAGTAATCCAAAAAGCCCCTAAAACAACTCAGGAGATTTCCATTAAAGTGAAGCTACTCTTCTATTTCCTCTCACACCAATGAAGTTTGTTTCACCCTTCAAATTATATTTATCAAATGAGAAACTGTTTCTTCTCCAAAACACTGCTTAAATTAAAACACCAGTTAAATTAAATACACTTCAAAAAACTCTCAAACCTTTCTGTTTGGAAAGTATATTATTAAGAACACTGTGCATTATTAGTAAAAGCAATGAACTGGAACTTAAAAAAATGCCTTTGTGACGTTATAGATACTAATACAAAAATAGAGCCAATGCTATCACTAAGATGTGAAACAAGATCATTCCTTGAGCCAGCCACTGGCAGTTGAAACTACCACTCTAACTGGACATACTTTACACACATATTCATACAAATCAACAAAGAATAAAAATAAAGAAGTGATAGAGGTATTCGGGGATGACTTCAGTATTTCCTGCAACACGTTATAATCCTCAAAATCTGCATCTGCTTCCAGATGCTCTGCTTAGAGGTACTGTTCCGCTATGAACATGTATTACTCTCACTGATTGAATAATATTCAAAATAACAAGTAAATCAAAGTTTAAATTATTCTTTAGTAAGAACACAATAAAACGTGAAAGAACAAGGTCTAGGTAAAATGAACTGCTCACCATTAAAAGGTATTCCACCGCTCTGTCAGGATTGTTGAAGCTGGCCCTCAGCGCCGCAATTACTTGCTCTCGTTCATAGCCCATTGACATGATCTCAGTCACCATATTCTCATAGGACTGACCTGTCACTAGAAGTAACATGACCACCATTTTAAGGAATAAGGCAAAAAAGGCACAAAAAAGTTTCAATGGATAAATTTCATTTCCACCCAAATTTGAGTCGTTCATTGAAGAGTAAAGAATAACTCATATTAAACTTGCCATGGCTCTGTTGCTTTAACTCCAAATATATTCTGCTTGTTTCATTATGCATTTGATTGGAATAATAGAGGGTAATGAACACAATGCAAACTTCTATTGAAAAAAGCAGCATTTGTGATACTTCGTCATAATTGAAATAATATTCCCTCTCTATGCTTACACCTAAGGTCAAGGGCATCCTCACACCCAATATTCAATTCCTGATGTAATCAAGGGAAGTCTCCTGCAGTGTAGGCTTGGAAATTAAACTTTCTAGGCAGAAATCTGCCTGTCAAACTGTTAGCCATTGAGTTTTTTCCAAATAAAGACTTTACACTATGCTGTGGTTAGACAGATGACAAATAGTTATGACCAAATTACAACTGTATATTGCTACATGCTGGTGATGATGATCAAAGTAATTTAATCAACTTAACATGGACCAACTCAAGTCAGGCAGAAGACTTAAAGTTATACCTAGGAAGGTCACTCAAGACCTCAATGAGGGTTTGTGAGAACAAGTTATCGCATTTAATTCATGTATATTTGACTAGACATTCATCACATCAAATCCCCCACCTCTTACAGCATAAATGGACTAAAACTGGCCCAAACCTGCAGCCATCAAGACAAAAGGGTATATACACTACATATGGAAAAATTTAAGGATAACTGATCACTACACTAATGGTATCGTATGGAAAATTATTATCTCTTTTCATAATTCATTTTATTTCCCCTCCTTAAAAGCAGACAGCAGGTTTAACAATTCAAAGAAATAACTATTCTATTATAAATTGTAATTAAGCAACATCTTAAAGGTTATCTTCCCAAGCAAAAACAGGAAAAAAAAAAAAACAAAAACAAACCCAGGCATTAAAATACCATCTCCTTCCTTGGATAAAGGTATTCCTGATCTCAGCGGAACCCTACTACTGACTCTGTAATACTAGTAACTTAGTGGCAGAAAAGTTAAATAATTGACAGTCACCATAAAAAACAACAGATTAAAAAATATAGAGGAAACAAATACTGCTAGAGCTACTCTGTTAAGAAAAGTAAGTCACAATTAAAAGAACCAAAGAAAACAACAAGTTTTATTCCCATAGGAAGAAGGTGTTTAACTTAAGCCAACACTAACACAATCACATTGCTTGATTTTTAAAGAACACTTCTAAATAATCAGTGGGCTGAGGGCAATATACTCAAGAACAAATAATAAAACAGCCCTAGCCCAAGGATACTTGTGCATTATCCATAAATATAAATAATGGATTTACAACCCTTGACTAATTTGAGTATTTATCATTCATAATTCAAAATAATTGTGCCAAACCTGAGTTTAAGGAATGGTAAGTTGTTCACATACAACTACAAGATCAATCATTTTACATCTACCTTTATTTTTTCAAAGACATTAAAAAAAAAAATCACCTAAACTTCACTCTAAAGATACATATTTCTGTACATATCTTCAGAGAAGCAAAAAAGCCAAGCCAACAATTGTCCCAGTACAGTTATTTTGCTGAACTTACTACTCATGTTCTTCTTACACAGCACTAGTTTACTACTATTGCTAACAAACTAATCAAGGTAAACAGCAGACAGAACGCTTTTTGATCTAATTAGTTACTATGTGAACATTTCTGTAGTGCTCTTTCAATATAAGCTAGGTAGAGACTAGAACAGTATGAGATTTGGTACAGAAAAAAAAAAAGATGCAAGAAGATTGACTTGCTCTGGACAGACTGCTACCGAAGCCATAATTAAAAGCCAAAGGAGGAAACAATTACTGCGATTTTAGGCACATGTACTCCATATACACACTACTTACACAAGTTGTCCAAAAGTAAGACCAAGAATAATAACTCAGGAATTGCACACCAGCAATGATGTAGAGTCAGGACTATCTCTACATACTGCTACTGGGAATGTGTGTAAGGTCAATGCTGAACTGATTCTGCTCTTTGCTTTTGTCTTTCAAATATCATTTTAAAGCTGGATTAACTTTCAAATCCAGTTCATCACACTCCCCACAATAATTCTTGTCGCATGCCCTAAAGAAAGCTTAGGATGCTCTGGTGAAAGATATGGTTGCACAGGAACTGCAAGACATGCAGATCTTCATGTAGCACACAAAGCCACATCGGTTTTCAGTCAGCGTATCTAACTGAAAACAAAAGCAATTCAGTAGAAACCAATCCCTGTTTTTGAAGTGAAGTCAATTATCTTCAGACAATGTAATTGGGAAGCCACAGTAAGAACACACCTAGGATCCTACTTAGGGGGTAAAAACAAACGACATGAATTTGTGCAAGCAAATTCCTTTTAAGACAGTTTCAAAAGAAAAAAATCCACAGAGTTCATGCCTATTGCCATTGAAATTTTTTTAGCATATAACCCTTGCAGTATGCTTACCCAGGAAGTTACACTCAATGCCTGTTATTTCCAAACTGTTAGGGACACATGGGTTTACTGTATCATATACCAATGAAAGAACTTTCATATAAAATGGATAGTGAGGTGATGCTCCCCTGTTACATTGAAAGGAGATTTTTTTTTTTTTTCAATTCTGAAGATAACTGAATCAAGACCACCACCTTAATTAAACTTGTTGGTCATTATTGTTAACATGAGTATTTGTGATGACCACATCTCGGCCACTAGTGTGTAATGAATGGCTAATGAAGCCTGCAGCACCTTTGGTAGCAGCAGTCACTTTAAAAATGTAACAGAACTTGACTGGTTGTCTCCTACAGTACCTATCAGCTATTTGAGCTCATTAATTTCTTCAGCCTACAACAGTATGTCATATCATGACACCGAAGCTGCAGTTAGACAGACTAAACCTGGTGGCTACCACCAATACACATAAAACATTACTACTGCTCCTAAATCACCTTGGGCTGTTTAATCACAACACCTGCCTCCAACATATCCACACACCCCCAGACAAAAATGTAAGTGAAACTCTTCAATTAGTTTAACTTTTTATACCAAGTTGCAGCTTAATGTTTACAGAGATACGACAAAATAAAAAACCTACCTCCCCCTTATTTCTGTGCCTTAATTTGCTACACTCTGAAAAAAAAAAAATCCCCTCCAAAAAATTTAAGTAGGAGTAAGGAGTCGTGGGTTTGCCTAGTAATTTCCTAGCTACCAGAGTCGGCATAAATTAGGGGCAGAACTTCCTATTGGTTTTCACCCTGTTTATTCCACTGAGAAATAAGACACTTAAACTGTCAAAAGAAAAGGGAATTGACTATAAGTATATGGCAGCATTCATTCCTCAACCCAGATAGCATTAGATTTGGTGAATTTATCTAATCTAAATGTGTCAAAAGACAGTACTGTCAAAGCTGGAACAAGTGACTAATAAAGGCAGCCATTTTATCAGACCTGCACACTGGGAAGCAAAGGTGAAAAGAAAAGCGTATACATATTTACGTCCAGTCTTCTATTCAAGAGAAATTAAGGCAAACGGGGAAAAAACCAGGAATGATAAAGATCTTCCTTTTACACAATAAAAATATATGAAGTGAAATATTCTTCAGTAAAGAAGTTCTTGATGCTGGTTCTAAGACACCAACTTCAGGTCTTGGAGAAGAGTACTTTGATTATAACTTTAACAATGACAGATACAGAAGAGAATGTCAACATCTGCTAATCCGTCATTTGTTTCTGCTGCACCAAAATAACGTCTACATTAAAAAAACACTCCACTTACCAAGTGCACTTATAGCATCCTCAAAAAGATTTGATCGAGATGTATCACCTGTTGTACTGTAAGATGAAGACAAGTGCAATGGTAATTACAAAACTTTGGAAAACTTCCTGTTTTTCAAAAAAAGCAGCAGCAGCCGTAACTCTAATAGCCCCTTTTTTTTCTAAAAAACCAACAAAGCTTGCCAACGAGCTCTCTTTCGGTCTTATGGTGAGACCAGATTCTACAAACTTACAATGCTACCATTTTTAACACAAGGCCAACCTTCCCCCCTACCCCCCAATAGTTTGTCTCTTGCCCATCTGCTCAGGGATTAGCCATCTGCTTGCTTGAATACTTTAAAGGGTGGGAGAAAAAGGTGGATTTTCAAAAGCACACAGCAGTCTCACTAACTGCTTCCCCATAGTCACAGGCTTCACCTCAATGAGGACCCAAGGAGGTCAGTAGCAAGCACTTACTAAAATCTCAGTATCCTACTTTCCCAGGAATATAAACTGTTAACATTTGCAATTACTCCATCTCAAGTTATCAAAGCTGTGAAATTACAGGATTTAAGGCTCATCTCCATGAACACCAAGGAACACAGAGGCACACTGCCAGGCAGAGGAACCCCAGTTAACTCAGTCAGAGCCAAGGGTGCCCCTTTCCTGGCTCCTTCCAGGGCTGCAACTTACAAGCATCAGCCCCTTGGTCTCACGGTGACACCCCTGATGAGTCAACAGGAGAGGCTCTCCAGGTCTCCTTACAGATCCAAGGGCATTACTGCCTACAGGGTGGTGCGGCTCACCACAGGGTGCCAGGAAAAAAGCATCTGGGGATTGTGCAAGACTTATTATGGGATATCTAGGGGAAGAACCAAAGGCACGGAAGGGAAGCATCAAGGCACCCTACAGATGAAAAACATGAGCAAACAGAGTGAAAAGAGAAGAAAAAGGGCCAGTCACATGTTAACAGCACTTGCCTGACCATGTCCTGCCCCTGATCACCAGTCCATCCTGCCTTCTAATTAAATTCCATTTCTAACTATTTTTCACGCGGGGGGGGGGGTGTCTCTAACCTACATGCATGTGTCTGTATGGACGTCTACGTGCCCACCACTGGACAGGGAATCATAAGTCACAGGGATCCACACATCTGTGGAGCCAGCAACTGCAAAGATCAGACACTGCAGAGGTCTCAGCACCAGCAACTGGAGAAAGGGCCACAGGGGTCCATGTGACTGGGGCAACTGAAGATACTAGAGTGCATGCGTATTCTGCGTGGATGCATATGTTGGTGTGTGTGTAATCACCAGCAAGCATCAAGCTTGACTACAGTGAGTAGGGTAAGACGCTTGAGTGCTGTGTATTGAATGGCTGTAAGTCAGAGGCGGCTGCTAGAGAGACCGGAGGATCTGAAAGAGGAGCTGCTGAACGACTGTAACGTCTGGGAGTCAGCTAGTGGTAAGGTCATAGGCCTCAACCGGCTAGTGAAGAGACCTGTTCGCGTGTCCGTGAATGAGGCAACTGGGAGACCAGGGGATCTACGGACTAGCTACCAGGTTCAGTGCATGTCTACAGCCAGTTCCTGGATGGATCCTCTGTGTGAGTGCGCGTGCGTATGTGTGCAAATGGAATCTGTGTGTCAGAGACTGGAGCAGGGTTGCAGGGCTCAGGCAGTCACATGCCCAGGTACCAAAAACTTGGGAGGCTGGGAGATCCAGGGGCCAGCTATCGGAACAGACTGTCTAAGGTCAGCTACTGGAGAAATTCTTATTGTTCATTTGTATGTTTGTACATACGTATTTTGTGCTAGTGGGCTTTGCCCCAAGTAGCCAGAGGGGAACAGGATGCGACTGCTGGTGTTGTATACTTGCTTGAGTGCTGGTTTTTTCCTGCCTGTGTTGACCTATGCAGCCAGCCACATATATAGATATATACATATTGCATGCATGTACTGGGAATACATGTTCAATCTTGATGCTTGATAGACCTAAGGACATGGAGCTGCAGCAGCCTCACATCTATCAGGCTACCAGAGTCACCAACTCCTATCAGCAAGTGAAAGATCATCAGATTAATCTGATTCAGTTTTCAGAAGATGCCACTAAAAATCTAACAAGGAATTTACAGAAATGCATCTTTTTATGTAAGAAAAAATTTGTTCCAACAAGAATGCTTCACTAGTATCTATCACTAGTAAGATTTACAACTAAAAAAGATCAAAGGCGAAACAGGACACCAGCTTGCCTGGCCATGGCTCAATAAATCTTCACCAGCCTTAGTAATTTAACTTCTAAAGAAAATCAGAAACAAGCAGTACTCACTGAAATCAAGGCAGGTGGTAACTACAATGTATTTGTTAAATTATTCTGTTGCTTCCTGTTAAGTATGTACACTGAGGGTCCCTTATTGCAGTTTTACAACACTGTAATCTGTACATGGAAAATCTGGAAAGCACTGTTTCAGTATCAAAGATTTAATCTAATCTTTGGACCTGCTGGACAAACTGAGCAGCAAAAAACCCCACGCATTAACATTAAAAAAAAATTCCAAGTTATTCGACTGACAAATGAAGCTTCATTTGTATTCCATTTTAAAAAGATGTCCATTTCTCAGAATTGCAAAATTAAATCATCAATTAGGGTATTTAGTGCAAGAAATTTGTGATGATATTTTCAAGATATTAGGCAATTGCAAGTTTTCTTTCCTTATCATCAAATTAATATTTGATGGTGTTTAAATACAACCACTTCAAAAATTAATGTCTTGTGCACCAGTATTCACATAAGTAACACACAAATAATTGAAAACCAGTGTATGAAAAATGAAGACTTGATGCTATGCAGCGCTTCAAGGGCCATTAAATTACAGTTAACAACATTTTTATCCCATGCAATACTTAAGCAACTTAAAATGAGCAAAAAAAGTCTACGGTATACAACAGGGATGAAAACTCTAACTTCCATTTGATTTTCTTAAACGTAGAGAATTGAGGTTAAAAGCTATCCCAACTCCCACAACTACCTGCAGATGGGCCAAGAAGCATTCAGAACAAATAAGCTTGTAGCTTTAAAACATTACATGATTAACAGAAATACTATATTCTACATTTTGGAAGAAAAAGCTCTTTCCAGATATTAAGAGACTCTTACAGCAATAAAGAACTTACGGTTCAAATCTAACCAACATGATTCAAAATACAATCAGAGGTCTATGAACAGGACAGGACACCGCTCTGAAGTCTTTAAGAGCTTTGTGAACAGTGGATCCCCACGCAGGCGAATATCCTCAGTCTGAAAAGAAACTTGTGCCACAGTAACTCTGAAATGCCTAATGGGAGCACAAGTCCTATGTCATTTAACTCTCCACTCTACAGGTTTAGTCCCAAGACCACACTTCCCACAGGAGAAGGTGTAAACGGGGAGGGGCACTTCTTACCATCAGTAGTGTTCTATTTGAGCCAGAGACTGAAGTTACAGTTAAGAAAGAAGAAAAATTATGTAGAACAGAGAAGAATGATTGGACTAACACTGTAATGGAAAATTCAACTTAAAATCAAAACTAGAAGCAACAAAAATGGATGGGGAAGCCGTTTTTGGAGGGTCATTCATACCTGTCAGTTGATGGTGGGCTGACAGCAGCTGGTGCCTCAGGTGGTTTTTCTGGTGGCTTCTCTTCTTTAGGAGCACTCACAGGTGCAGATTCACAAGCAACTGCATCTGGTGCTGGTGGTGGAGGGACAGGAGCTGGCACAGGGGCAGCAGCAGGGATTGGTGCAGTGACTGGTGTGGCAGCTGCAGTTGTCGAGCTAATAGTGGTAGTAGCATTTGACTGCTGAGTCGCTCCAGCTGCTGCTTTGGGCTGTAGGAGGACAACAGAATTCAGACACAGCACGAAGCTCCTAAACCCATGCCTTCTATAGTCAACACATTGATTAAGTTCTGTTAAGACCATTTGTGTTTGACATTTACATCAAGCATAACATTAAAACATTGCAAGACATTAAATCTATAAAGCCTTTTATTGTGTTTAAACAGGCCGCTGATAGTGTCACTAAAGTACTTATTTAGACACCTAAGTGGTCTCCCTATTTGAGTATTGAAGTGAAATGCAAAGATAGGATCTAAATATTTATAGACTGCAATACCCTAAACGTGAAACTAATCTTCTATTTTACAAAAGTGCATTTTTCAGAAGAAACTAAAACAGTTGTCAAAAGACATCTGACAAGCATAACAAGCATAAGGTTTTCTCACCACTCAAATTTGGAAAAAAGTGATAAAGACAGAAATCACATTTCATTATAAATGCTATTTGCTGGAAAATGAGATGCTACAAAATTTAAACTTAACCTGCAACAAGTTTTACTTACGCACTCTACACATTCAAAGCACTACATAAATAACATTTCACATACTTGAGTTCTGTAGTGAGCACCAAAAATCCAGCAGAATCAAGGACTACCAAATCTACAGCAACAAATTTAGAGTGGGTAATACCTGCCTGTAATTGTGATTTAATCTTCACATCTCTATTGGAAAAATTAATTTTGCTTGGATGCAGTATTAATCCCATTAAATAGAAATTACACTTCTCAGAATGCATGTAACTTCCAGCTAAGGTACCCAATTACGTTTTTGAAAGCTGTATCACTATAGTCCCTTACCCACGAATATCCTTAAGGACTGAAAAGGCTGACCCTCACCTCTGCTTTACCAAGAGAAATAGTTGAACTTTAACAAAACATAGCTACTTATTCAAGGTGAATCACTTTCAGACAATGTTTGCTTAAACTAGGAAAAATGTATTTCCTTCTCTTGTCTGAAAGGAAAGGAGAGGTTGAGAATGAATAGCTTCCAACATGACGGGCAGAACAAGGAAATTTTAAGAAGCATTCAAAGAAAAATGCTGAAACACGTCTGAGCATCAGACAAAGTTACTGGTTATGCTTAAGTGGCAGGGCATGTCTTACCCAGAAAAGAATCAAGGAAAGGGAAACTGAGCTTAAAGACCTAGCGAAAAGACCGTAACACTGAAGAACTGCCCAACTCGAAAACATAGGTCCTTTAATATAAGAAGGTATTACATTTAGCAGTTCTCCATGCATTTAGCAGTTCTCCATGGAGGTCTGTGTTTCTTCTGCTATAAAGAAAATGAAAGCTGTACTCTGAAATCCCATCCGCACCCATTTTTTTTTTTACTGATAAATGCCTCTTCTCCAAGCAAACCACAGACTAGAACACTGTTTGTTCAGGAAAACAGCAGTAACAGTTATTTTCAAACAGAGAATCTAATGAGCCAATACCAGACAGAAGTGAAAGGCAACTAAATGTAGGTTTTCTTTGTCAGAAGGAGGACCTCTAACTCCAAAATTAACTTCATATGTCAAGACAGAGATGAAGTCAGTTTTATCGAGATCTCAAGGGTCTGTCTGGAATGCCTAGAAAAATCAGTGGCTTCATTCCCGGAAGCAATCTGGCAACTGGTTAAGAGGAGAGATACTTCAAATGCATGTCACAGTCATTCCCTTTAATTTGTCCTTGCAGTCATTCAAAACTCACAGGTTTGTTGATTGGCATATGTATCCCTTCTCTACTGATTTAAGCTGTTGAGCTTGACAAAAGAAACAGCCATGAGTTTTGAAAAGCAACACAGCAAGACTGGAAGAGCTCTGTACAGAGGATTTAGTAACAAACTATCTAGGTTCCCTTCTTCCTTCTAATAGTATTACTGGAAAAACAACACAGAGAGACAAGAAAGAAGAAACAGCAAAATCAGCCACTGGCAAATTTTTTCTTTGATGTAAACAGTCAGCACATAACATCCACAATGATCAGCATAGGCAAACTAGGACTGTGAAAGCAGTATTTTGTATTTATTTCCACAAGCATTTATTTTTACTGTTGACCAAAACTTTCACATGATCAAATTCCACTGGTTTTAAGGATAGGCACATAAAATCACTCATCACAATGAAAAAAAGAATGAAATGAATGCAATTTCCTTTTCAAAAATAATGACTACTCACTTTTGTCACCATAACCACCACAAAGTTCTTCTCATCTATTTTGTATTCTTTAAGAGCAGTATCGTCATTAAGGATTTTACCTGGCAAATTAAACAGATACAAATTAAGAAGTTATTTAACAGATCATTAGATGATCTTGGGATTCCCTCATATAAACACAATTCCAAAAAACCCCATAAAAACACATTTTATGCAGATTTATAAACATTAATAACTCTACAAAAAGTGTTTTGGCTATTAAGCTTTGGCAGTAGAGCTACAAGTAATCTTCCTCCCATGATGTTCACAGTCCTAGTTAGCTTGAAGGGTGTTGCCATAAGTGTTGAAGATGCTTCAAATCATTTAAAACAGAAGCGTTAAATCTAAAGAAAGATTTACTGGACCTTTAACAAATACACAAGTAATGTAGAGGAATTTTTAGCATACAATAAGCTTAACTGAATAACTTATGCCTGCTTACACACTCCAGACACAGTAAGAAAATTACTTCCTGCTTATCTTCTGTTTGCACTTCAGATGTCATGAACTATCTACAGTTCCCTGCCACAGACTAAGTTTATATGCATTAGATAAGTTTGTGACTTTGCAACTTTAACAATTTGTTCTTAAATGAAGGCTAAAGCATGAGAAAAACCTAGAACTATTCCATATCCTGCTACCTTGACAGGAGGATGGGAAAAAGAAAAATCAACAGACAAAACCAGAAATATTTGTTTGTTATACTACCACTTTTGATGTTTCATAAGCAGAGATGGCACTGTGGCAAAGTAGATCTACCTCACATAGCAGAGATGGTACTGTGGCAAAGTAGATCTACCTCACATGTACAAGAACTCAGAAACATACTAAATCACATAGGTTTTTTTTTTAGGATAAGCTGATTTAGAGGCAGTACCACAAATCAGAAAATTAAGTCTGTATTTCAGTGAGTTTTATAGCACCTACTTCTACTACAGAATTTTCAGGAAATATTTTTTGATTTTAATCGATTCATTTTCTGAAGATATGCCAAGGACTGCTTCCCTATTTCAAGAGGAAAATACACATTTTCATAACCATTCTCAGTGCTAGTAGAATATACCACTTAACTGCAACTAGCAGGACACCTCCTTCTCCTGGTGATTGCAAGGAAATCAAGCAACGCATATGCGCTATGGCACTTGGCACACAAACGAGGTGGCACTGTCCTACTCTCTACTGGTTCGGCAGTCTTGCAGGTCAAATACTCAAGAACTTATTATATGTACTGTAGTAGTAATAATACCTGTAGCAGATGGTGCAGCATCTGACTCTGAACCTACATAGGTTTACTTAAAATTTTCTGGTTTATAGGCACTTTGGGGAAGGAGCTTGCACAACATATATGTGCAGACATCCTCTCTTCTCAGGACACACCACTCTCAGGGTTTCTAGACTTTACCCTAATAGAGATGACAACACAACAGATCTACCTCACTGCTGATTACCATAACCTTTTTTTTTTAAAAAATTGCAAGCATTTTTAATAATAAATGGTATACCTTTAATCAGGTTCAGTTAGGATATCACTTTGCTTTACCAAACTATGAAAATTCTAAAGCTCATTTTAATCAAAGTAAAAATGTCATCAATACGCCCTTGTTGTATCTCTTGTCCAAGAAAAATATACAATCAATCTTTGGATGGTCTCCTATTCTGCATCTTTTTTCCTACATTTCCTAGTGCTTGTGAGGATTATACAATGCTGCAGATAAACTCTGGCTTCTGAAAATTCTCCAGGCACATCACATAATCTTCCACAACCCTTGATTTACCCTTGATTTTTTTTAATCACAGAAACATATTAAGCATGTCATGCAATTATACATATCGCACAAAGCCTTCTACCTTGTTCATATTTCTTTATTATACATGTGACTCACCTTCATGTTCTTGATGTGCATTCCATTCACTGAAGTACAAGGGACATAAAACTTGCTAAGAAACATAGTCCTGAGGAGTCTGTACAAACATGAAGAGACTCCCAACTACTCTTCCAATAGCATCTTTCTATTGTGATCAGTGGCTTTAGCTTATTAGAGGTGAAAAAACAATACTGTTTACAAAGCAGTACACTGAAGAAGTAAAAAGACCAAAGTTTCTTTCAAGCATGGTTTGAGAAGAAAAAGCACTAGAAGGGGTATTGGAATAGAAATTTTTAAGTTCTGACATGAAGTGAGAATCTGTGTATTAATGCCAGAATGAACCAGCCAGGTAGAAAACAGTAAAAAAATATTGCCAAAAAAAATTTAAACTATGTTAGTTCAAATAAAGTAACTTCATGTCTTTATCTGACATTAGCCTACTTTTTGCTAGCACATAATACATGTTTCTAATGACAAAGCTTAAAAGTATTGAAATTACCTTTGTATAGCAAGGATTTGGTGGTGGGTTTCTTTTGTTAATACAAAAGAATCTGATTTTTAATTCTCTGAGTGATACAGGAGTGCTTCAGCTATACACAGCATAAACTGAACAAAAGACAAGAATTAATCCAGAAGATGCATTGTGATCTGCTTAAATCCTGATTTCTTGTACAAAAAGCTATTTTTACTTCACCTAGCATACCCCACCCCAGACTAAAGCTGTTAGCGTATCATGCTATAAGAGCAAAGATAAAACCAGACACCCATGTATTAAAACCTGAAAAATTCTGATTCAAAATTAAGAGTTCCCTTTGACAATGAGGTTTGTCGTTGGTTTGGTTTTGTGTTTGTTTTTTTTTTAACCTGTTTGCATTTCAGTACTTATAATCTTTAGAAGACTTAACATTCACATCAAAGTCAAAGAAGAACATAAAAAATAACATAGCTTCAGATACAGTATCTTCAGAATACCCATTACCTGCATAAATTAGTTTTTGGCCAGCTACTGGAAAAGCATCTTTCCCCCTTTCTGATTCAATCTTCTCTTTCAGTGCCTTCACCTAAAGCACAGAAACAGTTTTAATGAAAAAAAAAGAAGTTTCATAATACAAACCCAATTAAGTACACTTTGTTCTAAGTTTTAAATACTAAAAAGTAGTTTTGTCACATCTTGACCATGTCAAGTACATCAGTCTTTCAAAGATGTCATTGTAACCACTTGCAGAGCAATGTATTCCCTTCCCAAATAATCTCTCGTGCTTAATCAAACTAGATAAGTAATTTCTCCATGAAAAGTCTTTAAGTACAAGTTTACAACACAGCAAAAAATTGAGAAATTTGGGCAAAAAATGCTTTCATCTACTGACCCATTTCACCTCCCTGTTCCTTCTCTGAATGCAGAGGGTACACATGCTATATATAGCTGATGGCTTTCTTCATCATAATGACTCTTCAGAGAATGCCTGTGTTTTTGGTAAGGTCACCATGAGATTTGATTTAACTCACCAACATGACTTGAAGCCTTGATATGCAAAGACTTGTGCAAACTGTCCAGTTGTTCATTTTATAGATGCAGTTTTCAACT